CTTAGCTTATCATGCAACATCGGAGCAAGTGATAATTGGGGACCAATTATGAAACATACTCTCGAATACTTTAATTACTTTCCCTCTCTTTTTCCTTGTAAATCCTTCTTTGTTACTAGTCATATTTATTGTGTTGTAATGGCATGCTTAAGACACTGAAAACGAGCTTGTTTGCCAATTTGTGTTCTCATTATGAGCACCGTGGGACCTTATAAACATTTCTTACATAATCAAGCGAGTGCATAGTTCTTCCAGCCTCTGACACCTCAATGGACATGCAGACACACGCACACCGATCACTATAGTACCATAGTATCATAGTATGACTCCAACCACACGAGTTCTCTTGTGACCTCCATTGTCCCTTACTATTGGTTGACCTATGTTCCGTCTACCCTTGTTCTGCACCGGTTCATCACTTAACATTTATCGATTATTTAAACGCCTACGCACGTGATCTGCTTTCATGGCTCCTCGGGAGTCACCTGTTCATGTACACACACACACACATACATACATGCACGCACGCCTGTCGTTGTTTGTTAAGAGGTCGAATTGTGTGCGCCCAACTCTCTTATGATTGGCTCATCTTTTGGGAGCTTCATGTTACTGCCAGACTGTACTTATTTTGTTTGACTTCGTATACTTTGATCGTATTCTCTCTTTGACACAGCAGTGAGCTGTCCCCTTTTGAAGCACCTTAATTGCAAGGTGTATTTCGACACAGTCTAGCGCTGTCATATTCCTATTTGATGCACATATATCTGGAAGTGCCTTGACGACTGTCCTAACCCAGATACCTCACGAATCAAGGTTTGTATATAATTCATCATGTCATTAATTAATTCACATTAATAGTACCGTATCACGAGACAGTCTTGGTTTTCATAGCACTGTAACCGGGACTTTGCGCGTCACTTGTAACCAGGTTTCACACGGGAAGACAGTTCTTCTAATTCTGCAAAAAAGGAATTAACATTTAGCTTCTTCGAACCACCGGTACATGATGGAGCTCGGAGTGATGGAATATTCCCGTAGTGATCGTGCAATGAGGTCGGACGCCAATAAGCACCCTGCGGTTTAGGAACTAGTACCCGTATTTCTCTTATTCCCATGAACACGCCTATCACAAAATTCTGATATCTATTTGCATGATTCCCCGAATTGGACTAATCGTATCCGTAGTCCGTCTTGATTATGCCTGACTTGGCGATATTCACTAAGTTTTCATTTCCGGGGTCCGGATTCGCGCGAAGAAAAAACGTCTATTGTGGCAGCAATTGGTTCTGAGCAAAATAAGTTACCGTTCAAAGGTGTTCCGTATTACCACCTCAGATCGTGAATATTTCTAAAACAATGCGTCAGTATAAATCAACCGACCAAATTGATGCGAAATCTATCTTAATATTCAAGCAAGCGTAATTTTTCCACTGGATTTGTGATCCCTTGTGATCCACTGAGGTTCTCTTCGGGTTGTAGTGGCTAAAAGCTCTTCATAAGTCGTTCCTGTGCTTGGTTGTTGTCCAGTGACTATGTGTTGAATCCCCATAACAATGGGTTGGTAATCTAATTGGGACTCAACCCGCGAAAGGTGATCTGTTACAGTGAGATAACCCGGTTTGAAACATAAAACCGGGTCATCCAGCATGTCGTGGAAATTCTCATGAAACAGTCGCTAAAAGAAGGCGCAGTGATGGAACTATTTAAACGACAAGAAGTATAATCAACAAATAGCCATTTTAATACCGTCTTGGTTTGATTGATCTCAGTTCCCGAGAAAGAGCCATTTCTTGCCATCTCCTAAATGCTTATCAGCTATCGAATAAGATAATAAGCAAACACCTATCATTGCCAAGTATAGTGATGTATGGGGGCAAAGTGACCACTGAGTAGTACCGATTCTCAGCTCAGCCTGAAAACGTGGGGAGGGACGGGGGTATGGGGGCGCAAGGTGAGACGGTAAACGTTGTGAGGCTAGCAATTAAGTGAGCTGTTGTCAAAGCGTTCAAATCAGACGATCAGTGGCACGTAGAATAGCATATCACATAAAAAGGCATATATGTATGAGATAGTCCAGTGGTTCTGGACATATCAGGTGGATACTGTAGAGTGTATAGGATGAGCCGAATTTTTTGCTCAATTCGGGCACAGTAGGCTATTGGAAAAACAATGGTGTAAATAAACAATAACAGGAAGCATGGATCAATCGATCACTGCTATGTGATTCCTGTTTCGGTTTTGATTCTTGCAACTGGGAAACTGCATGGCAAGTTGCATGTGGGACAATAATAATAATGATAATAATGATAACAGTCTTATGGTGGTGGTTGGATTTGAATGCACGGCAAAACGGGTGCTGAGATGATATTCAACACATTGATTGATCAATCATGTGAGCCTGTACACAAAAAGATAAACTTTTACTCGAGATATCTGACCCGTGTCACATTCCTAAATGACCCCAGATCCGAANNNNTTCAAACCAATCTGTCTCCTGTCTCCCTGCATCTCTCTCTCTTGTGCAATTGCAGTCTGACAGATTCAGACTGTTCCTGTTCTTCGAAGTCAGATGAATCAACAAAGAAGACGGACGGATATGAGAGGTTCAGGAGTAGTACTTATCAACAATCTGCTGTTACTGTCTTTAATTTTCATCGCTAAATAACACACGCAAGACTAAACAACTTTCGAAACACAAACCAAATTCAGGATTCCCGATTATTGTGAACAGGGGCAAAATTAGTGATCTTTGCTATTATATCTATCCAATTTTGATGATGGATTAATGATGTACTCGTCGAGTGGTGCCTCGCCCCATCCTTGTTCCGGTTCCGTGCTCGAGGTTATTTCCCCTCAGTTCGAGTGAAGTGAGATCAGATGATGAGAGAATCTGTGTATCGTGAAACTCGATCACCATGAGGGAACGATGTACCGGTGCGTTGCCGCTGCTCTGTTAGTTACGCTGCATAATTAAAAGATGCATCAGATCAGAGCTTCGTGATAAATATAACTGTGATGAGAGCTCAAATCATGCCGCAGCTCGCTCGCATCGGGTGTCACGTGACGGGTCGGTCTCGCTATCAACCTTACCTCAGTATTGACAGACCTCATGATTATCGATCTGTATTTCACCCATTGACCCTGTAAATCGTCTTGACATAATTACAGTCAGCCGGTTCCGTTTGAGTGACCTGTGAGTGACTAAAGTGACTTTCTTCCTAATCAGGGGCGTACAGTTATAGCAATAAGCATTCGTGATACCGTCCAGAAACGCCAGGTCACTTCAACCTCCTAAACAGGTGGTCAAGATTCTCCAATGTGCTGCCGTGTTATTGTCGTCTTATCACTCCAATTGATTTCAGTCGTTTGTTTCTCAACACACTTTCAACCGCCGTGTTTGGTTGACGAAATACTGAGAAAATAATTGGTTGTCATTCTTCTCACACGCACACCGAGTTTGAATTCGTCCCGATGGACCAATGAACATTTGAATTTCCATCACTGACATCCGCTCTCAGTTGGCTACATTTTCATCCAACGTGTATGATAATGTGAATTTCTTTGCATTGTGATGGATTAGTAGCTGTTTCTGGGGGCTGTCAACTCAATCTTTTCAATAAATGATAGGAATATTCCTACAAGTACGGTTAGCAAAAGGACCCGCTAACGTTTAAGAAGTTTATTGCATAACTGAAATTCAGCTTCCGGCACGATGAAGCGACAACAATTATGACTTTTCTCGCGGAACATCGGTGACTAAATTTACACTTAAACAGTTTCGGGAAGTGTGAACATTGTTGCAAATGACTGAAGCGCTTTGCCAATTTTATTTTTCCGTCTCTGCGCATAGTAGCTTCTATCTTCATTACTCTCTTTTGTGTTGTCCTGTTTTAGGCCCTGGGCCCCGGATCCAGTCTACGGGAATACATCAGTGACGGATGGAATCAATTGGACTGTCTCGCGATTGGTTTTTTCATAATCGGATTGGCTCTCAAATTCCAAGTGTACAGCAAAATAAAAAACGAGGCCAGAGCAGCTTATTTACATCTGTTACGAAACCGTACCGAATCACTTCTGTTCATAGACGACAACAATACCACCACCACTAACAATACGATGATCACTTTGACGCTCGAAAACTGGTGGACTTCTAACAGGACATGGTTTGATGGACTATACGCCCCCAATACAACACGCGTCACAAACGGGACGGAGTCACCGTTGGATAACACCCTGTTGTTCGTGAACAGGGCATGGAATTTCAGTGAGAATCTCCTACCCCAAGTGGCTGATTTGATCTTGGACGGTGCACCCAGAGGCGCCACCGGTAGCAGCACCAGCGGTCTGGCCTGGAATTTGGATGATCCGTACTTTTTGCTCAACAATCAGACTGTGATTATTTCACGCATTTTCTACGCGCTCAGTCTGTTCGCGTTCTACGTTCGTTTGATGTACATATTCAGCTTCAGTATGGTTCTCGGACCGAAGCTGATTATGCTTAATCGAATGGTGAGTGCGAAATGATTTAGAATTGGCAAAACGATTGTACCGATTGGGGGTAGGGGTGGGGGTGGGAGTGGAGTGGAGTGGAGGACAGCTGTTATTGTTAACAGAATATCAAACCTGAACCACGGCACTTCTGACCCCTAATCTGAAGAGAAATCACCGATGATGATAGCGGCATCTTGCTTCCCAGATGGTGAACATAATATTTCAGCATTCAACTCATATGTAAATTTGTTACTTTCTTCCATTAGTTATTGTTCGTTTAATGGATTAGGAAAGTGTATTGATTATGCAGAATCAACAACTCACTCCGAACTGAATAGATTTGGAAGTACTGAACCGACTTTCTCATCTCAGTGAGATATCAGTAACAGTTCTTATCGGGCTATCGTGGTTGCTCGATGGTAAAGATCATCTGATTATTGCCCCGGTGGACGTGTTCCAAACCTAACAGAACTTTACCTTTCTCTGTCTGTTGTATGATAGGCCTTTGATTGTTTGCTTTCCTCTTCCGGAAAGTGTACGGTTATATGGTCACTCAAGTTAAGTAAATAAAAACATAATGATACCATGAAGTTATGCAGAACTAATTGACCCATTCACTCCATCATATTTTCTTTCCGAACTAGCTGTTAACTAAGATAAGGAGTTTAAAACAAGTACGGCTTGATGGCTAAAACGGGTTTCAGCGTCAAGCATCATGCGAGGTTAGAGTGTATTCCCAAGTTCAACCTCATTTTTGATCACGTGTGGAGTATGACCGGGCTCTCCATCTCTATCTTGTTCCACAACTGCTCGAACAATGATAAACTCGAAAAAGCGTTACTCAACATAACCAAACCTGCTGTTGAATTTCTTCAAGGGTTATAGTAAAGTGTTTGGAATATGCCCACATTCTTGCCTTGTTCATTGATAATACGATGTCATCAAGCACTTGGTGTGTAATGAGCACGTTTAGTGTGCAAGAAGGTTCTGTTACAACGGCCTCCGGCTGTGCGTTTGTCGGAGAGTACTGCTCTAGACGTGTTTGATAGCTTTTTCTATATTGGGAGTTGAATAAAAGCAATGGGGGGTGTTGCAGAGATCTTTCAACCGCCAACCTTAGCCCATCTAGACAGATGGTGTCCGATGGATCCCTGTTTAGACAACATTTTCTTATACATGGTATGGCTCGCGCATAGTGACAAACTCGCGTGTGTAGTTATAAGGTTTGACGACCTGTATTACCGCTAGATAGTCATTCTTTGAGTAAATAATTTCAATGCACCGTTTGAAGTAATTAAGGAACGTTCAGCGAGTGTCTAAACAACGTCTATCTTATCGGGCTTTATTTGCAGACACTAAACCGGGTTTGAATTAAATCATTTCGTAGCTTAAAGAAATAAACCGAGTGGGTTCGGGTCTCGTTTTCTTTGCGGCATTGCGGGTTTCAGGCTAGTGACTCAAAAATCAAGATAAGCGTTGGCAGACGACACTATAGAGTGTGGCATTTAAGTGAAATCAGCTATGCGATTACATTCTGAAGTACTCCCCCCTTTTTGAAAAATACGCAAAACTGTGGTTCATCTACCACCTCGGACTGTGCATTTCTTTGTTCCTTGTAAACCGCGGTTTATTTACAACATATTATGCATATAATAGGTATGGTTCATACTCGGAACAAGTTAGCTTATTATATGTGAAAGTTAGCAATGCTATTTTTTCTGTCATTCCACAAATATTTGCTGATGGCCTTCTTTCTGCATCATCTCATGGCACATCCTCTCTCTCCCCCTCNCCCTGGTTCGAATCCCTATCTGCAACTTACAGATAGTGCACGATTTACTCCCATTCTTGCTTATTCTAGTCGTCTGTCAAATGGGTTACGGGATTGCGGTACATTCGATTGCCTACGCGAACGGATATTTTGCTGATTACGAACAGTTTGCGATGAGTAAGCCTCTGCGTCCAACACCTTGCCTCACACTGTTTCTACATTCGCATGTCATTTTTCCCGATATTCTTTTCAATATTGCATTTTAAGATTGATTGGCGGAACTGTCACTTTGAGTTCAGAAATAAACACTGTTGTTAAATCCTCTTCCCTCATGCGCACCTCATTGGTCACACATTTTTCCACCTCCTGATTGATCACCCGTTTTCCCACTGCCTTCCTGTGTTGAAATAAGGTTGACCTCAGTCACTCTTGCATCTTATCAAGTTTGTTGATGGACGTCCATTTGGTGGATCGGTGAAGCTGTGCGATACTCGTATTCATCAGTTTCCTGTTTATCTTTCTGATCTACAACCCTCGACAAAAGCATTGCAACCGACCCTCAATCCCACCCCCGCCTCCTAGATTTTTCGATCATCTCTGCTATTAAATACACAATCATCATCATTTTTGAGAAGCTAGCGGGGTAACCAAATGAAAAGTCAAATGACGAAGTCGCAACAATTTATCTTTTATGCTAACGAAAATATTTCGAAAATGACATTATTTTCACCGGGGGAAAAACCATCGCGTCCCCGAAATTTCTTCATCCGAGTCAGTTTCATACCGAATGCATATGGTCTGCAAAATTTAGAATCATTTCGGTGCTGATAGTATTCCACTCTCTGATGATGAACGATGCTTCTGACTCGTGCTTTGAGGTATAAAGTCTGTAGAATTGGTACACACTTTTGGGTTAGAAATGGTTCAAATGTTTTCTGTTGCGTTCGAATTTGGACTACCCACAGGCTTCATCATTGTTTTGATGTTATCAGCTAGTAAACAGCATTTCGATGCGATTAACCGTGGTGCATTTGAAGAGCAGTGGCAGTGACGTCAGACAGTGTAATGGATCCAGACCCATTGTAGCATTGAACAGGGAAGAGCTGAAAGCTAATCACGAACACTGAACGAACACCAGAAAATGCTCTCGGGGAAAGATAACGACAGTTTGCTACCGATGGTCAAGACCTTTGTGATTCAACGCAATGGAGATGGAAGCCATGCTTGGGTTTGACGTTTCGATGAGAACAATATAACGAATACTTGAAACGGTCAGTTCCTTGGATGAAATGCAAGAAAATGAACAAGCATATAGTTCTAAAAGCCTTCCAAACATAAATATCTTTCTTATAGTCTGGAACTCATGCAACTTGTACGAAGGCATGAAATTTTGTCTAATTCAGCGGCGAAATTTACACGAACCTGAAGCGTCTAACTTAGACTGGCATAATATATGAGAAGAATAGCAATACTTCAGTCAGTGAATGACCGATCGAAATGCCGTCCATGATTCTGATACAAATAGTCATATACTGGAGCGATTCCCGATACATCCGAGAGCCAATTTTGGGCAGGATAACACCGTAGTTCTTGAATCGCATCTAACAAAATGCTCTTTACTAGCTGATAACATCAAAACAATGATGAAGCCTGTGGGTAGTCCAAATTCGAACGCAACAGAAAACATTTGAACCATTTCTAACCCAAAAGTGTGTACCAATTCTACAGACTTTATACCTCAAAGCACGAGTCAGAAGCATCGTTCATCATCAGAGAGTGGAATACTATCAGCACCGAAATGATTCTAAATTTTGCAGACCATATGCATTCGGTATGAAACTGACTCGGATGAAGAAATTTCGGGGACGCGATGGTTTTTCCCCCGGTGAAAATAATGTCATTTTCGAAATATTTTCGTTAGCATAAAAGATAAATTGTTGCGACTTCGTCTTTTGACTTTTCATTTGGTTACCCCGCTAGCTTCTCAAAAATGATGATGATTGTGTATTTAATAGCAGAGATGATCGAAAAATCTAGGAGGCGGGGGTGGGATTGAGGGTCGGTTGCGATGCTTTTGTCACATTGGGTTTATATATATTGTTTAAATCTGTATAAATTTAATGGAATCTGTTCTTTAACTGTAACCAGCTAGGCGCGCAATGTAAAAGTTGTCTTTTCTCCAGGGAAGGAAGTCTGATTGTTCAGTAGTAGTAACAAGTCACTAAAGAAGCTTGGGTGGAAAGGGGATGGGTTATAGTCCTTGATTATACGTTCAAAAGGCGACAATAAGTAACCATTAATGAGCTATCAGGGAAAATGTGATAGGGATGAGGAATGAGACTGATTGGGTCATAGCTAGATAACATAAGAAGGGGTCAGGGAAAACCGAGACAAATACCCAACTAGCAATAGGCAAGCGCAGTGTAGAAAGATAGGACAACAATGGGTGTCGTACTGTGAAAACAAATGAACTGACGATCTGGAATGAATCAAAACAGTGCACAGACTTAAGTATACGTCAGAATTAGTCATTCGTGAGAGACACGTGGACGGACTAGTGTGAAAAGGTGAACGGTTAAGCGCAAACGCACAGTGACTGAAAAAAGTTGTGCGAGTTGACCATTCGAAGTGGCCGAAACAGTTCCCTGTCCAAAATAAACTAAGGTCCTGTGACTCCATGGTGTCAGCTCAGTTTACGTAATACCGTCGTCTGATTGTTTACTGTTTTACTTCTGCAAGCAGCGAAGCGTAACTTTCATTCAAAAATGTATGAGTCGTAACCACGGGATTTTTTTGAAAATCAGACCGATATAACAGATGAAACAATTGGTTGTGCCAAGTCTGTCATACATAGTCCACCCAAAACTCCACGCACGCTCTGATCCATTGATTTACTTACGACCGTCCTCTTTGTTCACCAAGTTAAAAAACGCTTTTCGCTATTGTTTGCTCTTCCTTTCGTTGACTAGCAATCAATTCAACAATCAAATGGAAAACGGGGCTGAAAAGTATCTACGATGCGATTATCACATCCTACTTCCAAATGTTCGGCCTTTTTAGTTTGAATGAACTCCAAGGAGAAAGTAAGTGTGTGTGTGTGTGTGTGTGTGTGTGTGTGAAGTTTAAATCCTCGGTGTATAAGCAGTTTTATACGTGATGCCTTGCAATTTCGTAGATTGTGTGCTTCGCAGTGTTCCATATCACCCGTCTCAAAAAAGCGGACAACCTTTTGAATCGGGTGTCCGGGATACCTATTGGGAAGCGACCTGCACCGGAAAACTTGATCAAGCGACATGTACCATGTTGAAAGATTAAATTGGTCTCTGGGTAGAATTGAACCGCTGTGAGTGTGTCTGCGAGAACAAGAAGAAATGTCAACTATGATAAATGTCCTCAGTGTGACTGCTTGTTCACTTCCAGGTTGCTTTTCACTCTGTTGCGTGTCCTGCAGTAGCTGATTTTCTATTTGGCACAATTTGTGGAATTAGACCGGATAATAAACCGCGATTTGCACAACCAGTAAACAAGTTCGGAATATCGGCAACTAGGCTTGAGCCCCGGTGGCTGGAGTTGAGACATGTGTGTTTGGTCGCTGGCAAAGATGAGCTATGCCCGATCGTGTATTGATTGGATGAGACAGTTTGATCAGTTGCCCCCGGGGTGGTCAACGAGGCAGTGCTTGCTTCCGACGCTTGTGCACCCCGGATCACGATCCTCAATCGATTTGATGAATTTGCACTGCAATGATGAGCAGGGTCGGGTGCTTCTCGATTTTTCACCGTACATTTTCCTTTCCTCCGTGTGATATGAATTTCCCCGGTTGAACTTGTAATCTACCGACCTGATACCGGGCTGATTCGTCATCAGTTTGGAATGTTTATACTATCAATATTGGAAGCCATTATCTCGCCGCTTGACGATAACGCTTCTGTTGTGCACATTAAACTGTAGGCGATAAGCAAGTTCTCGCTCGGGAAAACTAGCTTGTTTTCTGTCCCCTTGTTTTATGACTGACTGATCGGCTAAACCCATCGTTTTGTGTGCTTTTCCGGTTCAAATGGGGAAACAGTAGACAAATACGATACCGTTCAAGCATTATTACATGATCGCCGGTTCCAATTTCTGTGTCTAATTTCCGCTACTTTAGACGATGGAAATCACTCGAACGAGGAGTGGGGAGGGGGTAGTGAGCGAGAACTTTTATAAGTGGTTTCAAAAGTTCTCCCGCTCTTTGACGTACCAGACCAAATTACAATGGAGACGATTTTTTTCTACCATTAGTTTTCTGGAACACACGGTTTGCTTGATGTAGAGCCACAGAGGGCAGAACAGAGAATTTAGATCTGCTAATGTCGCGGTCGTTTTTTTAATTAGGGCATATGTTCAATGGACCATCAGAGAAGAACAACGGCATGACATAGGCTGCCCAAATGTTATCAAAGCATAACCACAGCAGATCATACGCTTAAATTTCCGCTGGTGTGGATTCAATATTCTGTAACATGCTGAACTGGGTTGATCGTAAGCGGTTTTAAAGAAATAAATTTTCAATCTACGACATTATCATATTTTGTGGATCAGCCGAAACAGCAACAACAACAACAACAACAACAACAACAATGTTCATGACATTTACCCAATCGTTCAGTCGACGAGTCAACCAATACGAGCGCAAATCCATTTTTCCAGTTGTTTTAGGAATTTTACCTCCTTTCATTGGATACACAATCATATAGTTTTCAGGAAGGAGGAAGCGTCGGCCATCAAAGGCCATCATGCATTACACAAAGAATGGGGAAAGTTAGACGGGGGTGATGNGGGGGGGGGGGATAATTTGGTGACCTTTTCGCTTGACCAACACTAACACCACCACCACCATAACTATCGCCGTAGGTAAAACACGTATCAGGTTTTTGGAGCATTAGATGGGATGACTGTTAAGTGATACACCACATGATGTCAATGTATGATGCATCATTTCAGTGAGCACATTCAGAAAACATGAACGACAATTTTTGCTCCACTTTACGAAGCGCACTCAGTCCTTATCCACAACTGAGCTCGTGAGAAGTAGAACCCTGGCGTACGCGACTGCGAACTTCATATGTTATCGCCAGACATCCTGAGTTTACGCAAGTATTCGGTTTCAAATTTCACCACGGTAAGTTTTCAGAGGAGAAAATTCCAACTTCTGCCTTCCGTGTTTTGTATTTTTTTCGTAATCCTTGGAATTTTAATTTGCATTTATGAAGTTAAATACTACAGTAAATTACGGCGTGAAACTCTAGTCTAATCACGATGCTATAAATTTACTACCATCTTCTCACACACAGAGCCGCGTCAGTCGTCATAGTCTCTTACACGACTAAGTGGCATCTTATTGTCTCTATTGGGAGACAAGTCATGCCTGCAGGCGTGACCTCTTGAGCCTGTCCACCAAGTGTGAAGATGAATTTATTTTAAGCTTTGATTTTTTTGGTCGTGGAAGTGTATTCATGTTTCTCATAATCCTACTGGCCCCAATGAGCACCACGTTGTAAATCTATCAGACTCTTCATTAGGCGTGATCGAAAAAGGGTGCCCGCTTTTCCCACATCATCCACACCATTAAAAAGAACTCTGATCCATCTATAACTGCTCTCAGAATCTCCCACATATTGTCGCCTTTCTCTCTCCCTCCCTCCGTTCGCTTTCCACCAATCCGCCAGGTTCCGAATGCCGTGACGACAATATGTGTCCACAGACTTCCGCTCGGCGTTTGTCTGTGGTAATGCTGAGCGCTTTTGTATTGCTTACACAAGTTCTCATGTTCAATCTGCTCGTGGCCACGTTCACGTGAGTACAGTGTCATGGTTCCAATTATAATCCTCATTGCCACGTTTCAGCGGTTTTAAGGATACCGGGAAATTGCAAACTAACTAACTATTTTCGGAGGAATGAGAGAGCATAAGCAATTTCAGGGAGTGACCTATTCACACATATTTCTTTTTCTATGAACACGATGGTTTCGTCACTAATTGTACACAGTATATAAGTGTATTTCAGAATTTTCGTATGCCATAATAAAAACAGAGGGGATATCAGTCGAAACGCCCGTCACGAAAAAATTACCAGTTATTACGAAAGTATATACTGAACTAATGATGTGTCTAATCAACGCGTTATGACATCAAATAATCCCACGAATCCTAATAAAGCTAGAATACATGAATTAAACTAGGTTTTCACAATGCAGAAACGCTATTCAAATTTTATAATTAGATTGTGTTAATGTAAGTTCTTGGATGAATAGAAATAAAGTTGTGTGTGTGTGTCTGTATTCAATGGAAGAGACAGTGCAATCTTCTGCAACATGATTGCAGTGAATGGACATGTGAGTAGGTTTGCGGAACCCAATATGATCGCAATCAACGCGGTAATTTCCCACCGGCCGTACACGTTTAACTTTTGAAAGTATAGATTTGTTTGTCGAAAATGCCTTCAGATTGCATGCAGATATTGAACATAGCTGAAATGAAATCAAACAGGGTCAAATAGGATCACTTTGCAACAAGAGGTTTTAGTGACACCATAGATCAGTCTATGCCGTGCTCACTTTACTGTTCACCAGTATCCGCGTAACACCCGGTCACTCATCGATGGTTAATAGCGAAGGTATACATACAGGCTCACACTAAACAATAAGATTTAGAATGTGCTTTTCGGCTACTGATGAAAAAGTCTGATTGCCGACCTTAGTGAGCGGTGAAACACAAATGAGTCCTACGTGTCCAGCTTAAAAATCGATTGGAGAACTTTTCATCGCTCGGTACAGTGATATATTTAGTGTATGTGACGACTGAGGTGATTAATCCGTTCTCTCTCTAGAACATTCTTCCTAAATGACTTATGCAATGTGATGACACTGGATAAAAAATTCATCACCATGTAACTAGGCCCGAAATAACCAAACGATTATTGATGGAATCATTGAAAAACGGATATCTGTTTGGAAGTTCAATAAAGAATAAAGTTTATAACATCGTCAGGTAACTCGACTATATTACTTCGACGAGGTCATGAAACACAGAAAAGTATCTTGCTTCAAAATCATGTATTCTGTAGTTCTGTTTGAGCAACTGTAAGATTCAAATGAAGGTATTATCGGTATCTTGTAACACAGAATGTCCCCAAGCGGTGGACAATTGATGAGATTCTGCCGAGATTATCCTTTTAATGGTATGATAAAATTATGATTGCTCTCGTAGCTACTCATGAGTAGATGAATTTTGTGATGCTAAATTCCAAAACCATCGAATAAAGCGTCAAACTACAGTGGCATGTTATAGCGTACTCCTTAGAGGCACTCACCAAATTCAAAAGAATATTTTTCAGTGATTGCCCCGACTAATTTTAATATTGTAAACTCCTTAAAAGCAAACATAGTCGTAGTGTAGTAAGCGTACGTACCGACAGAAAGCAACACTTGGTCTGTAAATAAGGACAGATCGTAGTTTCTTCTTTTCCGGCAGGTATTCAATATTACACGTATTCAAGCCTTAGTGATTATTGGACTCTTTCCAAGTAATAAACATTAGGGTATTCTGATTATTTGATAATGTTATTGAATGAACTATGTTACATCGTGGGCACCGCTATTCATGACCGCCGCTGCCAAATGTGGGTTTGGTTATTGCGAATACACGGTGAAAATTTGATATTATTGGTGCTGAGGCTCATAGCTTTACTGTATGAATTCCCGGTCACGTTACCAATGGAGAAGCCGTTGAACTCGCTGGCGCCCGTAGACCGTGTCGGGATGGAAAATATTACGTTTACACAGGGATGGAGTTTCGATGATAGCATTCCAATTCGGTTCGGGAATAATGCAGTTCAGTTCAGTTTCTGTAACCATTAACCCTGTACTTTCGTGCGCCGGTTTTCGTTATCGTCTTTTGGTGTCCCATTTGAATAGAGGAGTAGAAAGAAGATCGGAATGTTGAAAGCAAATTCAAGTAGAAGATGGAATAATGCAAATTCATATGATTACGCAGCACCAGGTCAGCATCGATTAGAATGAGAGCAAGGAAAATCAATTGTANGAGAAGAGTAAACTTTAATTTCACTAATTCACAGTGATGAAGGAGTGACGGCTAAGCAGAGAAATATTCCTGCATGAAGTCAAATTCAAGTTGAAAATTGCTGCAAACGTTTACACCGAAACCATGCGTAACGTAACCGTGAATTGGATTCGTGAGGACGGAAGCAATTCATGACAGATTTATTTTTGGATAAAATAAATCCGTTCTGAAAGTTGGTTTCATTCTTTATTTCAAACGCGATAAGCAACAATGATTTACTAAAAACCAATCTGAAGTTGGGTTGATGCTGTCAACTAGTTTTCAGCTACGTTATATGCTATCTTCTTAATACCCTCTTCCTCACCTGCTCCGACCCAGAAGCGGACAGCTTTGATGGATCTCGAGGATGCTTGCTGAAAAAGAAGAGAACAGTGTGCTCGTTTTAGCAGAACAATACTCGCTGTGATTTGATGCCTTATCACAAAATATATGTATATAGCAAATTTTGTGATCACTGATCTGAACAGAATGCCGTGCATTTCAAGAAAACAAAACAGAAGAACGCCGACGTTCACATTCATTGGGAGAACAACTCTAAAGAGATAAGGAAACTGTATAATTATCTTAGTCTGATTTCTCGAATCATAATTTACATTCCCCTTTCTGGAAAATGAATAAAACCTTTTTCCACCGAACGCTTATTTATCTAAGAAACGCGTGGTTAAAAACCAGTTGTCAGTAGAGTATCGGTCAGAAATATAACACGCTGTCGTGTTCTCTAACCCCCNACCCCCCCCCCCCGTTCCTTGGAATTCCAGCTCTACTTACAACGAAATCGAAGGCTCGTCATCCTACTTTTGGTGTTATCAACGATACGAAATGATTCAGGAATTTGTGGATCGACCTTCGGTTGCCCCACCGTTCATGCTGGTCTCGTACACGATCGAATTTACCGGTTTCCTGTGTCGAAAATTATGCAATGTGATTTTGGGCCGAGAAAGTGAACAGGACTGCGATGATGATCCTTTCTGTAAGTCAAGGTTCGGTGTTCTATAGACCGCGAACTGGTTCGCATATCTCTGTCCGCGTGTTACGAACGAAATATCCATGAACAATGACCGAAAGGGTCGTGTGCGATTGATCATTTCAGACTGAACGAAAATAACAACCCGATGAAGTTGTTCTGAATGGACGTGAAGTCGTTATAAGCACCAATTTATTCAAGATCCGTAGCTAAAGAGGTCACGGTTACCATTCTTCGCGCAAGATTCGTGAACAGAGAAGGTCTGTCGGCTTCTAGGCATGAGGGACAAGATTATCGGAAGTCAAAAATATTATTTAGAGCAATAAACGGTGTCTTTTTTCGTTCGTGTGAACTCTCAAACTCCGGTATCTGTGGTTTATCTCTCCTTTTCTGACTATCTCATTATTTGAGAGTTCGTTAACTCCCAACCTTTACGCACTGTCCGATCAATGACACCGAAGAGAGGAGAGCTTTTCTGTCCTCGTGAGCAGTGTTCACGGTTTCTTCAGCCGGGATCCAAACAGTAAACCTTCCGGTTAGGAGCCAAAGCCCATGCTGCATCTATGATGAGTAATGTTAAGAGGGGAGGAGCAACCAATGAACTAGAACTGTAATTTGCACAATAACAAAAGACGATAAAATGTTTGTCCAGAAAATCTTACTGACACATGGAGTACTACCTTGTGATATTTAGTCCATTCTGACAAGCACTCTAACCGAGTCTATTAGAGACTGGGTGAACAGCGGAATCTCAAAACACTGAACACCACGGAGTTTAAGCGAGCTTTGAAAAGTTGCTTGAAGATCATTTACCGTATAAATCCATTGAGTACTTGGTAAACCAGGAGAGCCAAAAGCACGTGATGTGACCAGGGGGATTTTTTTTCAGCTAATCGATACTAACCAGATTTCCCTACCTATACGAGAATTATTTTTCAACTATATTGAAATGATACATTTTTTAATCCGATCGGAATCAAAATGGTTGATTGATTCCTTGAGAATAT